ATGAAGGTGTGGCTGCTTCTTCTAGTCTCTTCTGGCTTAAAGACCTTCTTGAGTTACAGCTATTGTGTATAAACTGCATGTGGCCTACCCTTTCCTAGTAAAAGTGTTCTGTTTCTGCCTTTCCTGACTGCTATGTGCAAGTCTTTGTTTTAAGGAAAAAAAGTCTTGTTGCTCTACTTTAGACTTTGCTGAAATACATTTATTTTATTAGTCTACCCAGTACAGCATGGACCATTTCTCAGGGATGCATAACTGGTACGCCTGCTCACATGCTCGGCCAACATACTGCAATGTGTGTCGGGAGGCATTATCTGGAGTCACGTCGCATGGGCTCTCATGTGAAGGTAAGCGTGCTTTCTCGTCTCCTGTTTTGGGAACATCGTCTTTATAGCTCAATGCCATGTTCCAGAGATAATTTAAGAGGAATGTTGTTAACAGTCTGCAAAAAGATGTAGAAAAATGCTGCATAATAAACTTGAGAGAGCTACAGGCTGTGTCTGAGACTGGAAGTATTGTCTGGACCCGATGCTGAAATGTTTTGCTGCTGAATCCCTTTGGCTTCACAGAGAATTTTCCTGCAGAAGTCAAGATCAGGATCTTGCTATTTTGTAAAAGGATAATAGATGTGATGATGTTTTCATGCTGGTTTTAGTGTTGGAACTGATAGTAATATAGCTGATTATCTTTTTTCCCGTATACCTAAATAGTGCCATCCCTTATTAAAATCATGCTTCTGAAGTGAGCAGGTATGTACTTCTGAGGTATCAGATAGAATATTCATAAGAATACTCCTGTTCATAAGAATAATCATATTTGTAAGAACATCTTTGTTAAGTGTTTGAATGCCAGGAGGTTATTCTTTTTCAACTTTGGCATAGCAGACTTGCCTGGCTGCACACAGCTCATACTTCTAGTGTGAATGAGGTTACACCCACACTGTGTAAAAGGATGCAGGAGTGTATGAGTATGTAAATCATGTCAAATTTAACAAGGTGATAACTAAGCTTTATACAAGCAACTGGCAAAAGTGACAAGGCCAGAATTAATAGCTAGCTCATCCTACTCAGTATGCCTTGAGCTGATAGTTTTGGCAGTGCTAACAAGGGTAGTGTGTGCCCATGCTTTCTTCTGGAGCCAAATATGGTCACTTGGGAAAGCTTTTGCACAAACTGCCACATTACATGTTCTGAGGCAGCATTAATGTATTCTCTTCCTCTCTAGTGTGCAAGTTTAAAGCCCACAAGCGGTGTGCTGTGCGGGCAACCAATAATTGCAAGTGGACGACTCTGGCCTCTATTGGGAAGGATATCATTGAGGATGAAGATGGGGTAGGTGTTAGTCTTAACTCTTCTAGCCTCATCTTGATGTGGAAGCGCTGGCATGTGCTCTACAGCTTTCTTCAGTGTATGAATAGCAGATTCTGCCTTTATATGTTAGCAATATGGGAAAGGCCTTTGCTGTCAGAGCATGAGATTCTGTGTGAAAGTCCAACCAAGGTAGTGAAGACTCCTTAATATGAAGAGACTCCTGCTATGGACTGGGGGAGCTGAGGTTAAATAATTGGAGGCGTGGGGAACCTGGTCTGAGTTTTGGCAAAAGAAAGATAAATGAGTGGTTGGAACAGTACCTTAGCATATGGGATGTCTGATGCAAGTCCGTGTTTTCTGGGTAGCCTGGGGCGAGTCACCTGGTCTCCCTGTGCTTGAGCGTGATGTTAAATGCCAAAAGAGATCCTCAGGTGTTTTCTAGAAATTGCCTTTGCTGTCCTTGAACAGTGCATATAAAGACTTGCCTCTCTGTATGTCTCAGTGCATCCTGCGCCCTTGAGTTGCGCTCTGGAAAGTCCATATTGCTTCTCTCCCTCTGTACCATTTGCAGATCTCGATGCCACATCAGTGGTTGGAAGGAAACCTGCCTGTGAGTGCCAAATGCACTGTGTGTGATAAAACCTGTGGCAGTGTTCTACGTTTGCAAGACTGGCGTTGCCTTTGGTGCAAAGCCATGGTGAGTTGAATAAACATGATCATTTCAGTGAAAGGATAGTCTTTCATCAGCTCTGTGGTGTGTTCTTTTAGTGACATTTACTTAAAATGAAATCTCTCACCGTGCTGTCAGTATTTGCCATGAAGGACTTTATTGTTCTTTCTCCAGATGATAAACAAGATAGAAAGAGATAGAAATTTAAATTTGTGCTGAAAAGTATCACTGTGATGCATAAAAGTAAGACCTGAAATAAGTATCTGGCTTCTCTGCAAGCTCATTTTCTTTTGATAGTGAGCTTTCATAGAAGAATCTAATTAAACTAGATATGAATCAATGCCTCAGGCATGGGAGATGTTGGATTTTAAGGAGCCGTTATTTGTCATTTCTGCAAGTTGAAAAGGTACAACAAAAAAGGACGATAAAGAATACTAAGCTATTTTAATAACAGCAATTCCTTTTTCCATTACAATAAATTTCTCTTGCCTAACCACTGCAGTGATGCAGATCTTGCTGTGTTTTCAGTTGTCTATAATATTAATAAGAGAAGTATCACAAAAGACGTGTTTATAATGTGGGGGGCAGGGGCGCAAACCCTCTATCTTGTAGTCTTTGCGTACTGAAGTGCCCTACTCTGCTTTGTATTTCCTTTTTTGGGTGGCTTTATTAATCCCTTCTTCTCTTACCTCTTAATGTCTGTCATGTCTTTCTGCTTTGTTTTTTGCTTTATTGTTTTCTTGAATTCCCAGCTTTTTCTTTTGTTGCTACTTCTGATCTCTCAGCTGAGGCTAGGATTTTGAAAGCAGAATGCCTGAGGGCTCTTAAAGCCACATAATCTATTATCTGGTCCTCTCAGCACTCAAAGTGCTAGTCTCATAAATTCAAATGGCAGAAAAAGTATGTACTAATGGAAAGAGGAGAATTAATAGAAGACTGATTAGATCATTCTTAAAATAACTTTATTGATTGACATTTCCTTGGATTCTCCCCCTCTTCCTTTCATACTCTTCCTTTACAGCCTCCTGTTGGGTGGCTTTATGAGTTATACCACAGTGCCCAGAAGAGTCTGAATGAATGTTTTTTTTGGTGGTATTTTCAGGTGCACACAGCATGTAAAGAGTTGTTGCCGAACAAGTGCCCTCTTGGGCTGTGCAAAGTATCTGTCATTCCTCCTACTGCTCTTAACAGCATTGATTCAGATGGTAAGTATCGCTAGTAAGTAGTGCCTTCTTTCTCTTCCTCTCAGTCCCAGTCCCTTCAGCTAACACTATTAATGCTAGACTCTGTCAAATGAAAATTCTGCTTTTTGGTGTTGCTGAAATTCCAAACTGGAAGATATTGCTGAAGTATGGCAGTGAACTGCTTTGCTTTTGCATTCAGTTTATTACCCTGTAATGTCAGTATTTGCTGAGCTGCAGCTGTTAAAATTTATTGAAAACAACTGTATTGCAGAAGCAGTTTGGAAAGGTTGGGGAAGCTGAAAACTTTGGCATACTGCTAGGAGATAAGTGTGACATTTGGCAGCATGAGGTGTGGTTTGTGCTGGATTCAGGGCTGTGCATGTTTGGCATTTACCCAGTGAGTACCATAAGCACAAGGAAAGTATTAGCTTCTTTGTAGCTGTGCTGGGGTGTGGGGTGTTGTTTTTTTCCCTCACTCCATCCCCATGGGCAGCTTCACACCCCTGGCTTTTCCTCCCTTTCCCTTCCGTTTTCCCCAACAGGTTTCTGGAAAGCTACTTGTCCCCCTTCTTGCACAAGCCCTTTGTTGGTCTTCGTCAACTCAAAAAGTGGAGACAACCAAGGCGTAAAATTTCTACGAAGATTCAAACAGCTACTGAATCCAGCCCAGGTCTTTGACCTCATGAATGGAGGACCTCACCTTGGGTAAGCAGATATTCTATGGAAGCATGCATTCATTGTAAATACCAGAAAAGTACAAGTGATTTATTTGATTATATATCAAAATAT